CTCGAATCACACCCTTCAATGAAACTGCTATGATACAAAGTGTAGACTAAAAGTTGATATTAAACCTTGTGCACCAAGGTAAAAGAAAGAAACAAAAAAAAGAAAAGAAATAAAGAGTTGATTCTCTTGTGAATACTTACAAAGCACAAAAAAAAAAAAAAAAAAAAAAAATTCCTGCGATATTTTATTGATTAATCAAAAAACTAAAACCTATATATCTATTTATACTAAAGATATTAGACTCGTATTCCAATGCCAAAACTTAGAAAAGCTATTGATATAATCAAAGTTTTCCTAACATAAAACAAACTTTTTTTAACCGATTAATCCAACAAATACTACATAATTGACACTATTAAAGTTCTAAGTGCATATGGTAAAAAAAACTATTAAATGAATTTCTTTTAAACAAAGTCTTTATTTTTTTTTTTATTTTTTTTTTATTATTTTTTTTTTTTAAAAGATTTGCCATGAGGTTTTTTAATGATTTAATGGGTCAATCAAGTATAAATAAAAAAAACCAAATAACATTAAAATGATAAAATATTCACTTGAGTACTGACCTACCAGCAAAACACTTTTGGAGATGTGGATGCCGATATCCCATCTATCAGAGTTCTAATATGATTGTTGTCATTTACTAGTGCAGTCATGGATGTTCGTTTGCTGTGATTCCACGTCATGATACATAATCCTATATTTGCATGGAGATTACCATGGTTCTAAAAAGTGCGTCATGGCGCGCCTCAAGGTGTGCCATGGCGCGATGCGTGGTGTAGCTGTTACGAAAACGTTCAAGGCGGGTTTGTGAAGTGTGACGCCCAAATAACGTGTCAAGGCGCGCCTTAACGCGTTATGATGCGAGTTTTTTTCAAGGCACAAGTTTTTTTATTTTTTTTATTTTTTTATTTTTATCGGGCTATAAATGAGTTTTTGTTAACTTTTTTCTATTAGATATTAATATAACACTTCTAAAAACTTCATATATTTGATAAAATTCAATAATTATATAATTTATATCTTTTAATGTATATAATATAGTCACGTTTTGAAAAACGTCATGGCTCGTTAAGACTTGTCATGACTTAACTTTTACCTTGCCGCCAATCCACGTTTTACGTTATTTAGAACCTTGAAGATTACTGATTAGTTGTGGTGTACGTAAGTTGGTTTGGACATCCTCGTTAGAGGGACAATTCTTTAATTAAACCATAAAAACAAATAATGATACCCATAAATAACAATATCTTAAAAACTATATGAAAATAAAAAAAGATTTTTCATTTGAAGTTCTTTTTTATAAAAAACACCCCCCAAGAAAAAAAAAACTTCATATAGACAAATCCATTGTTGATCTCATAATTGTTCTTTAGTATAAACAAAATTCAACAAAAGCATCTAAAATGAATGTCGTTTGAACTTTAAACTTGTAATCATCATCGTGGCACTTAATGTCAATAAGTAGACGTTAAACACCCGGTCAAAGGAACATTAAACAATTTTTAATCCTTAATCCCCCACGAATTCATTTCAAAACCCCAATTCACCAAAAACACAAACACACTTCCCTATAAAAACCACTATTCCTCGCCCACATTCTCCAATTCCATCTCCATAAACGCCATTCTCGATACCTTCAAAGCTCCTTCAAGCTCTCATTCTCTGTAACTTTCTCTAATCTTCCTTTCTTTAACTCTCCTTACATACATTTTAAGGGTTTCTTGTTTTACCTTTCTTTGTTTTCCTGTTTCATGAATGTCGTTTTACTTTTGGGATTTTCTGGAGTATTAATCAACCCATTTGTTCAAAATAAGATCTTTCCTGTTTTACGATTGCTATTTTGTATGTTTGTAAAGTAATGATCTTGTTTGATTGGGTCCACAAGATTTCACATATTTTGCGAAGGCATTGTAGCCGTTTAACAAAACATTCAAACGTTTGAAAAATATTTGAAAATGGTATTTTATTTATATTTATTTTAAGGCTAACAGAATATAAAGATTATGATTCTTTCCTTGGATTTTTCTGTATGGTATTTAGCTTTTGAGCTCTTGCTTATTTCTTGTTGATTTCATTCTGGATTTGTTGCTTATAATTTGGTTTTCTGAATATATATTCTTACATTAACAGTTGTAGATTGCTATTGAAGTCAGAAGAAAAATGTCAAAGCTTTCACCTTTTGCTTTGGTGATCCTTGTGATGTGTTCTTGTTTTTCGGCTTCCATGGCTGCTGCTTCAGAAAACATGAAATACAAAGACCCAAAACAACCACTAAACATTCGAATCAAAGACTTGATGAAACGAATGACTTTGGAGGAAAAAATCGGTCAGATGACACAGATTGAAAGATCTGTAGCTTCCGCTGATGTCATGCAGAAATACTTCATCGGTAATCAATCAAAATCCCTACTTTTTCGTTTATTCGATTAAGAATCTCACCTTTATGATCCATGTTGTTTTCAGGGAGTGTGTTGAGCGGCGGAGGGAGTGTTCCGGCGAAAGAGGCGTCGCCGGAGACATGGATTAACATGGTGAACGAATTCCAAAAAGGGTCACTGGCAACTCGTTTAGGGATTCCGATGATCTATGGAATCGATGCTGTTCATGGCAACAACAATGTCTACAATGCAACAATCTTTCCTCATAATGTAGGTCTTGGAGTAACAAGGCAAGTTTCATCTTCCAAGACAAAATTACCCTTTTACCCCTTTTTAACGATTAACAACAATGTTATTCAAGGATAGTTTAGTAATTTCGCATGAAATGATGATACAGGGATCCTGTACTCATCAAGAAAATCGGAGTTGCCACTGCTCTTGAAGTTCGAGCAACTGGAATCAACTATGCATTTGCACCTTGTATCGCGGTAAATGATCAACAAACAACAAATTACTGAAATTTAAACAAATTTAAACGCTTTTTTTTCATGAATCGATCGACAGGTTTGTCGGGATCCGAGATGGGGTAGATGTTTTGAAAGTTACAGTGAAGATCCTGCAATTGTTCGTCAGATGACTGAGCTTATCCCCGGATTACAGGGAGACATTCCGGCTAATGATCGGAAAGGCGTACCTTTTGTTGGTGGACAGTAAGATTCTCACATAAACATCATCGGAATTTGAACATTTGATCATATCGACTTGTTATCTTCATGAATTCATCTTTGATTACAGGAAAAATGTTGCAGCTTGTGCTAAGCACTATGTCGGAGATGGTGGAACAACGAAAGGCATTAACGAGAACAACACAGTCATAAACCGCCATGGATTATTCAGCATTCATATGCCGGCGTATTACGATTCGGTTCTTAAAGGCGTTTCGACCATTATGATTTCTTACTCGAGCGTAAATGGAGTCAGAATGCATGGGGATCATGAACTCGTTACCAATTTCCTCAAGAACACCGTCAAATTCAGAGTAAACCCTAATTTTTCAAAGTAGTTATCGTTCAAATTGAATAACAAAGATCGAATCGTTTGATCATTTCATGATTTTTCAGGGATTTGTGATCTCGGATTGGCAAGGGATTGATAGAATCACAGATCCACCTCATTCTAATTACACTTTTTCGATCTTAAAGAGCGTTGAAGCTGGTCTGGACATGGTTAGTGATTAGTTCTTCATCTTTGAAACAAATTACAGAATTAGTCGAAGATTTGGATTACATTTACACTATTTGATTGATTACAGATCATGGTGCCATATAACTACACAGAATTCATCGATGGTTTGACTTATTTAGTCAAGAACAACTTCATCCCCATGACCCGAATCGATGATGCAGTTAGAAGGATATTACGGGTCAAATTTGTAATGGGTTTGTTTGAAAACCCGTTAGCAGATCTCGCCATGGCCAAATACCTTGGAATTCAGGTATCCCGTTGACTATTGTTTTCAATTTTGACTTTTGGCTTTTTGACTTTTAAATTTTGAAATTTGAAATTTGACTTTTGACCGATCTTTTTGATTTATAAATTGATAAAACACAACAGGAGCATAGAGATTTGGCTAGAGAAGCAGTAAGAAAATCTTTAGTCTTGTTGAAAAATGGGAAATCCGGCGGGTCGCCGCTCCTCCCCCTCCCCAAAAAGTCAACCAAAATACTAGTTTCTGGCAGCCATGCCGACAACATAGGCAACCAATGTGGCGGCTGGACCATCGAGTGGCATGGGCAAAGTGGTAATATCACAATCGGAACCACCATTCTATCCGCAATCAAGAACTCGGTTGACCCACAAACCGAAGTTATCTATCAAGAAAACCCGACTCCCGAATTCATCAAATCAAATAACTTTTCATACGCGATTGTTGTAACGGGTGAATACCCGTATTCCGAGACAGTTGGGGACAGTTTGAATCTAACTATCCCCGAACCGGGCCCCACCATGATTACAAATGTATGTGGGACCCTGAAGTGTGTTGTGGTGCTTATTTCGGGTCGACCCGTTGTGATCGAACCGTATGTTTCTACAATGGATGCTTTGGTGGCGGCTTGGCTTCCCGGGAGCGAGGGACAAGGTGTGGCGGATGTTTTGTTTGGTGATTATGGGTTCACGGGCAAATTGGCCCGAACCTGGTTCAAGACTGTTGATCAACTTCCTATGAATGTGGGTGACCCGCATTATGACCCATTGTATCCGTTTGGATATGGGCTTACAACTGAACCGGTCTAATTAGGTTGTGATTTGAAGAAAATGTAATGTATGTTCGTTTAGGGATTATTATTTCGTATTTGTTTATTTTTATGTCATTATGTGTACTTGGTACAAAAAAGATTACTTAATTTATGGCCTTTTTAACATTGTGTCCAATAATTTTTTAATCATTTATGGTTTTAATTGCAATATCTCTTTAGGAGATGTTTGATAGTTGCTGGTTATTCGATTAGACTAAGTCTTTTTCCTAACTAATAAGAGGATTTTACATGGTATTAAATTAGTCTTTTATGAGACGTAAA